GGGGGGGGGGGGAAGGAAATGAGTGATTTTGGGGACAGCTACTTTGCATGTGGCAGTCAGAGGAAGCCTCTCTGAGGAAGGGATATTTGAGCTGGACTCTGAGTGATGAGATGGAGTTAGTTAATTGAAGGTCTGAGAAGAGAATATTTTAGTAAAGGAAAGAGTACATGCCAAAGTCCTAAAGCTGGGATGACTTTGAAGTTGTGTGGAGCAAGGGGAGCACGGGGACTGTAAAGATAACAGTTTCCACCCGGACAGCTGTTCACAACCTGCAGTAACAGATGAGGCCCGAACTCAGCACAGAGCCTGGCACACCCAGTGCCTCCCCTTGCTCTTCCTCGGTGGCACTCTCCTCCATTCATTGTAGTGGCAACTTGGTGCCCATTTCCAGTTGAGTTTTCAATAAATATCTAATGATTATGCTGTCCAAGGAGGTGGGACCAATTTCACCCTTTCTCAGAATCTGAGGATTTGATATGGAACTCTTATTTGGAAAGAAAACTAGTCTGGGAATTAAAAACCCTTGGGAGAGTGTCTTAAGTTTGCTAAAGTGACTTGCCTTCTGACCCTCAGGCAAGTCACTTTATTCTCAGTTTCTTTGGTATGTAAAATGAGAATTATAGTCATCTTTCTTTAATCTCTAGAATTGTTAGGGGAGGGGAGGGCATTTAAAAATCTTTTTAAAAAATGATACTGCTGCAGATGATCATACATTTAGAACCCCAAACAAATCTGTACCCCTGCGATATAGGACACTTTCAGGGGTGCTGAGCGGTGTTTGTTGTCCATCCTAATTCTTTTCAATCAGCACTTAAAAGAGAATTGTAGCTATATATCATCCTTTCTATTTTACCAATAAAGCAACATACTAGAAAGGCAACGTGGCAAATGTGACTTTCAAAGTAAGACCAAAAGAATTGATCAGTCAGTCAACATATATTTATTTAGCACCAAATATGCACTAGAACCTATTCTAGCTTTTGGCAAACAAGTACAGTAAGTTCTCACTTAACATCATCGATAGTTCCTGTGACCTTAAGCAAAATGACATATAACCAAACCAATTTTACTATAGGCTAATTGGTATAAATAAGAGTTAAGCTCCTAGCCATGTCATCAATGCTATAATGAAATGACATTATTTGAGGGCCTGCTGTACTTCTCTGGAGCAGCTTATAGTCTAAGGGGAAGGAGCACACAATAAACATGTCAACAATGAGCTAAGTGAGCTAAGTCAGGTGTTGGGAAGTGCTATGAGGAAGATTAGTACTGCGGAAGAGGGCAATTAGAAAGGCCAATTTATTTTGCATGGTTAGGGAAGGAGTCCTAACCATACATGTTTGAATCAAGAGACTTGGATGATGAAGAGGCAGCCACACCAAGACTGAGGAAAGAGGAATTCAAGCCGAACTAGCAAGTGCAACGGTCCTGAGACCGAAAGAGCTGGGCTGGAGGGGTCTTGTGTGATCCTGGGAAGGGCCTCTTAGTAACCAAGGTAGGGAGGACGATAGCAGCCCGATCGTGTAGGGTCTTCTAGGCCACAGGAAAGAGCCCGCATGTTATTCTTAGCAAAATGGGGATCCACTAGAGGTTTTAAACCCTGGGAGTGACATGATCTGACTTGGGCTTCAGAGGTAGTTACCTCATGGGGTTGTTATGATGATTAAGTAGCAATGACGTAGGTAAATGATTTAGAACACTGTCTGGCTCATGGAATGTGCTCATTAAAACGCCCATTCTCCCCCTCAGTAACTGCTATGTGAATGCTGGATCGCTCAGGGGCAAGAATGGAAGCAGGGAAACCAGTCAGGGGTCTGTTGTAGGAATCCAGGAAAGAAATGATGGTGACTGGATTAGGGATAGAGTTGTAAAGAGAGGGATATGTGGTAAATGTTTGGATATATTTTTGTCTTTTTGTTTCCACTGTAGATATCCCACGCTGCCTTGCTAGCTACACCTAGCCCTCGAACAACAGCTTTAGCTAAGGCCAAACCTCTTCATCAAGATTATTTACCTCCCCGTGATCCCAACTGGCCAGTCTCTTATGCTGCTATCTGTTCCAAAATATCTCCCAGAATTCAAGAGCTAGCTAATCCAAGTAAAAGGTATGTCAACTTAAGGCTAAGATGTGACAGGAAAGGATGGCGGTACTAGGGACAGAGGAAAGTTGACCTAATAAGGCCAATGAAAAGAACTATAGAAATGTGACAAATTTTTTAAAACATCTCACTTATTTGTTAAATTTATTGCAACAAACCTATGGTCTTACCATAAATATAAGGCTATAATTAAAGGGTTAGTGACTAGTATTGCAACATAGGTCTAGGAGACAACTCTGTAATTATGGATATGGGAATATTTATCTAACATATGTTGTCAAAGTGAAACAAATTACAAAACAGAGCACATAAGATGTTACAGTTTGTGCAAGGAAAAATACATGTGTGCCATATTTTTGCTTGCATATGCCTGTCGTGTCTCAGAAGGGTACACAAAAAGGTAGTAACAGTGGTTACTTTTGGGGGCCTCGGGAACTGGATAGGAGGAAGAATTATTTTTCACTAAATAGGCTTTTGTATTTTTCAGTGTTTTTGTACCATGTACATATGTGACCTATTTCAAATAAGTGAGAAAATACTTCAACAAAGAAGAAATTGTCCCTAATTCTTGTTTATTTTTTGGAAGACCTCTTAACTTACCTACGCCTCAATTCATTTTGTTGCCTTCAAGGAACAGTACCTGATTCCCCCCTTCTGGCGTCATCAGGAAAACCTGGGGACACTTTAAAAAGTCATAGAACTGTTGAGCCCAGGGAACAGGAAATATGTTAGTTCTTATATAACATAATATTTTAAAATTTTTATAAGGTGTTTTTCCTTAAAAAACAAAGTTCAACACCAAATGAAATGAAGCTTATTCCCTGTTCATTGGCAAAGGGAGAGGAAGAGTTAGATCCAGTGCTCAAGGCCCCTTCTCTAAAGTTATTACTTGGTGGTAAGGTGCTAGGGTGGAAACTTCAAAAACTTTATTCAAGTCCACCAGAGGACTGTCTGGCTTGCTTTTTTGTTTTTTTCTGTGTTGTTGTTTTTGTGTGTGTGTGTGCATGCCTTTTTAAAATATATATATCTTTATTGATTTCAGAGGGGGGAAAGGAGAGGGAGAGAGAGACAGAAACATCAATGATGAGAGAGTCAGTGATCGGCTGCCTCCTGCACGCCCCCTGCTGGGAATCGAGCCTGCAACCCAGGCATGTGCCCTGACCAGGAATCGAACCTCGATCTCCTTGGTCACATGTCAAAGCTCAACTGCTGAGCCATGCTGGCAGGGAGTGTCGGCTTGTTTTAACATTGCCAAATTATCGAGAAATTTCCAGAATTTACTTTCTGTGGAAAGAGCAAAGGCTTTGGAATCCTTCGGATACACCAATCTGGATTTGGCCGCAGGTCATTCCCATAACTCCCCCAACACTTCCCTGTCCAGGAGTGGAGGTGACAATTCCTGTTCCACCGGGTGCTTATGAAAATCAAGATGGGGTCATATCATGTGCCCAACAGAGTGGCTGCTTGGGAACTGTTCCTCCCTCTTTCTGCTCAGCCTGTTTCAGGCTGGACTCTTTTTTCCCACGCAGGACTCCTATGCGAATCGTCTACTACGATCCAGAGGTCTTCAACGTCAAGCCGTCTGCTTTGAAAGCAAAATGCTCTCTGAGGGTCCAGGAGCTGGCAGAGCCTCTTGCCCGCTAAACACGGAAAGCTGCATCAGTCCCACCCCAGTTAGGCCTTAGGTGACTTAGTTCCCCACTCAGGTACTGTCAGTTTGTGTTCTCCCCACAACCTCAAAAACACAGGAGACCCCCAGGGAGCACCACTGCCACCATCGCTGAGCAATCGCAGCTCTGACCTGTAGGCCTGTCTTGCAGGTTTGGGGACACCCACATGCAATAAAAGAGAAAATGACAGCCTGCCTTATCCTTACTACCTTCCCACCAGCGTCCTGGCTGTCTCACTGCTGTGACGGACCTGGAGAAACAATCTTCCTTCTCTTGGCCGGTGTTGCTTTATTGGCCCGGTGAGATCCACGTCCACCAGTGGCTGATCTCTCCTGGGTCCCTTCTCTCATGAGTCCTGAGAATTGAAAATAGTCTTCGTGTTACTTTTCAGCCTCCCCTCACCTCATTCCTGAGGAATAACGCTGAAATAGTGAAACCTTTTTGTATAAATCTCAATGCTTTGTATAATCTGTAGGTGCAATTTAGGGACCAGGTTACCTTGAATGATCTCACTTCCACCAATTTCCGTTCCTTTGCTCACGTTTAGTGTCATTGATCAGGAATGACAGAAAAAGCAACGTGTTTGGTAAGTGTTCTAATTCTGTCAGACTGCATCTGCCCAGTTTTTTATTTAGTTGATTTTATTCTGTCCTTGGATCAGTATTTTACAAATTAAACTAACTTGTATAGCATATCTGAATTTACATGAAAATGGACTTATTTGAAAACCAGTTTTACAGATGGATGAGCTGTCTCTAAGGCTTTTGCATTAAGGAGATAACTAGTGTTACGGAGAGACAACACTACATAGTCATAATAATTCTGAACTTGAATTTTGGAATCAGACAGCCATGGGTTTATGTCATCCATGGATCATTTACCAGATAGTGATTTTGAACAAATTCCATAACTTCTCATGCCTTAGTTTCTTCATGTGTTAGGTGGATTCCTACTGCATTATTGTTTAGATTAAATAAAAACATTATCTAATAAAGTATGAATAGGAAAAAGTGATATTTAAAATTTTAGCTGCTTTTGCTTTCTAAGGCGGGGAGTGGCATAATTTATTTCACTGGGAAAACAAATCTCTTTATGGCTTGATTCATACATTAAATAAATGCTTTGCCAGGTACTGTGCTAGCCACTGGAGAGATCAGAATTAGCCAAACAAATATGGGCTCTGCTCTCATGGACTAGTTAGACAATTGGGAGAGATGTATGTAATTCAAACAATAAAAAATAAATGTAAAATTGCTACAGTGGCAAGTGCTATAAAGGAGAGGTTATAGTACTAGGAAAGAACAGAATAGAGACCTTTGACTCCCTTGGGAAGGTGAGAAGGCATTTTTAATGAAGGGACAGTTGGGCTGAAATCTACAAATTGAGTAGAGTTAACTAACCGAAGAGGGGACAGGTAGTCAGTCCAGGTAGTGGGAACATGTGTTTAGCGGACATTTGTTGATTTGGAATTCATTCCTCTTCTTTCTGGTAAGAACTCCTAATTTGATTTTGGAAAATTACTTTCTCTTCATTGTTTAATGCTTTATTGGACCTTTTTAAGGTGTCCTGGCCAAAGGTTGGGCATATGACCCAAGCCAGCCAAGCGCTTTGAACTGCCCTCCAAGGGCTTTGGGTCTTAAGCAGAGTGGTGCAAAGGGCCGGGTGTAGTTGGAGCTGATATTACCCAGTAGTGGGGCCCTCATTTTGCTCCTACTCCCTGTGTCCCTGGAGCTACCTGGCCCTTCACCTATTCCTTTGACTCAGGAACTGCCCACAGCCTTCCAGTAAATCCTGTGGCAGGTGAGCGGATGTGTCAGGGACTGGAAGATGGATGGTGTGACTCAAACTGAGAGACAAAAGGGCTTGTGTGACGCAGGAGGAGGCAGAAGGATAGGAGCCAGACCATGAGAGGCCCTGGAGGCCACTTTAAAGATTTTAGTCTTTATCTTAAAACCAATGGGAGTTGTTGATGTAATTTAAGCATAGGGATAATGTAATCAGAGTTGCCTTTTTAAAAATTACTTTAACTAATAGATAGGGGAGAGGCAGTGGAGGTAGATAGACCAAGTAAGGAGGATATTTTGTAGCTCAGGTGAAAGATGAAGCTAGTTTGGTGGTTCCATGGTGGAGGTGGAAAGAAGTGACAGGATTGAGAGATATGTGAGAGGTAAGCTTTTACACGATTTGGTGATGGATTGGATATGGGGTGGGAGAAAGGGAAGCATTCAAGATAATTCCTGGATTTCTAGCGTATGAAACAAGATTGATAGTATCTGAATATATAAATGGACAGTGGCCAGGCCACCTGTCCTGTGACAACAGAACTCTAACTCTCATCTTCTATAGCAGTCAGCCCAGAATGGCCAGGATTTGGTCAATGATCCTAATTGATGCCTATTTTTTGCTCCCAGTTCCAACAAAAACCCAAATAGACTCCTTAAGCTAGTTGCATAAAATTCCCTCCTTCCATTTAGCCCATTTCCAACTTCCCCATCAACAGCCTCTAATCAGAGCACCCCAAATCTTGCCCTCCCTTCCTCCACTATAGAGCTTTCCCACTCCTCTGTCTGCCTTTGAGTCTCTGCCAAATGCAAGTGATAGTGGCTGACTTCCTTGCTATTGCAAGCTCTGAACACATAGCCTGGTGTGTTTTTACACACTAGTGAGCCCTTCGCTGATGTAGGGAACACTGGGAGAGGACCAGAAGAGGAGAGAGGAGACTTTTGCGTCCAGTTCTGAACACTTAGATTAGAGGATGCCTTTGGGACATCTAAAAGGAGACATCAGGCACAGGGCTGCATTGGGACTCTCATGGACCCTGGGCACTTTTGCTTTACTGGGTTTTTTAAAAAAATAATATTAAAAATTATATTTTGTTTTGCATTGGTATAAAGATGGACATATTCACATTATATATTAAAACATTTTAAACAAAATGTTCACTTTTTTCTTCTCATTTAAAAAGAACAAAAACATTTTTTGTGAGCTCCCCAAAATATTCTGGGCTGTAGGCAGTTGTACATGGGCCTGTATCACTGCTACGAGAGGAAACCCAAGGTCTGGGGGTGGGGAGCTGGGAGGGTGGGGTGTGAGAGAGGAAGGACCATGAGAGTGTGAAAACTGGCTTGATATTTACTGATAATGAGCAATTGCTGCTAATTATATTTGAAAGGGCATTGGTGTGGTGGTTATGCTTTTAAAAAATGTTCTTTTAGAAAAGCGTGCTGAACCTTTGTGGGTGAAGTGTTATCTGGAGTTTGCTTTGCAATAAGTGATACCCAGGGGAGTGGGTGAGGGTACAGATGAAGGACTCATTGTGAGTTGTTGAAACTACGGGATGGGAACCTACGGTTCGTTATAGTATTCTCTCTCCTGTTGGATGTGTTTGAAGTTTCACATAATAAAGTGCAAATTGGGGTGGAGCGAGGAGGGCCAGCTGCAGATGTCAGCAGAGGCTGGAGGGGCCTGAACAGTGCAAACCCCATCCCCACACTCTGCACCTTCCCTCAGGTTTCACTCCAGAGTGTTCGGTGTAAGGGCTGTTTGAGAGAGGAAATTAAGGCAACGTGTCATAACCCAGGGGGCAGCGTGGAGGAGAAATAGCACATTCAGGATGCTGAGATAATTTATTATTTGGCAGAAGGAGGGCCGTGCAGTTATAACCCCACTAGGAATAAAGTAAAATAAGATAAAGTGGTGCTCCCACTCCAAAGCCGGGGGACCAGGAGGGACTCAGGACTCCCAGCACCTTTGCAGGGGAGGAGTTTCAAATAAATTCTGATTGACTTTGCAAAGGTCAGCATGTGTCTGTTGATTTCTGGGTTGCAAGTGCTTGACTTGAAATATATGAAGAATAAATGGGAACAGAGAAGGTGTTAAAGGTTGGTTTGTTCACCTGGATTTGGTTGAAGGAAGGAAAATGGTAACATAAGCTTTCATGGCTTAACTCTGTTCTCGGGAGTGGGTGGGGGAGAAAGGCAGGAAGCTCTTCTCTAGGGAATTCTGCCTCACCACCTGAGGGCAGAGCCTGGGAAATATATGTCCATCTCTAACATCTGCCTCCCTGGGTTCTTGTCCAGTACTCAGCACAATATCCAGCACATAGTAAGTGGGTTTTGTCTTTTACTCACTATTAGCGGATATCAAGGAGCTTCCAATATGTTTCTGGATAATGGAGTTTATTTCCTCTGATGGTTCCAGTTGCAGTCCCAATGAAATCAAAATCCTCCTATGAAGAGGTGGAGTCTACTTCCCACTCCCTGAGTCTGGGCTGGCCTGTGACTTGCTTAGACCAAGAGAAGGAGGCAGAGGAGGCATTGTCTGACCCCCAAGCCCAGGCCTCAAGAAGCCTCCTGGCTTCTGCTCTTGCCTTCTTGGGATGTTGCTCTGAGACGGCGTGGGAAGAAGCCTCACCTCCTTGAGAGACCTCGTGGGAAGGGGCCCAGTCTTCCCGAACCTCACCTCTGAGCTCAGCCCCCAGCTAGTCCTCTGCTAAATGGACCCACATGAGAGAGCCAGCAAGACCACCAGCTGAAGATCTGCGCAGCTCACCCGCAGAGCTGCCAGAGAAAAATGGCTACTGTTTAAGCTCCTAGGTTTGGGTGGGCTTGTTGTTCACCCACAGTTAACTGAACCAGTGCTAATCTGGTGGAACAACAGACCAAAGCCAGAGGGGGCAGAGAGGGGAGCAAGGGTGAGGGCTCTGGCTTCATCTGGCTGATTTCCACAGGCTTGTGAGCATGTCCCTGGGTTGAGGCTGCTAAATGAGCAGGTAGATACTTCTCCCTCAGTTAGGTGTTTTAAACCCCTTTAACAAGTGTGAACCAACCCACAGCAGGCCTCAACTTAAGGGCCCACGGCTGGCTAGTAAGAACCCACGTGAACTGAGGCACAGGAGCATGTTGTCAGGGCGTTTTGCTTCCTTAAGGAGCTGTCTGGAGAGGTCCTGGCCCATGGCCACCCTTGGCAGCAGAG